CTAACAAAAAAATCCTGCTTGTATTTTTATCCTGCCATTCCATAGCCAACAGCATAGTGCTGGCCCCTTTATGGCTGATGGAGCCCAGGCGGGCTGCCCAATGAGGGGAGACAGCATTTGGCCAATGGGGCTGGTGTGTGTCATTATTGCTGGCCATTGGGCCTCTGTCCTCTACAGCTCCATCCTGACTCATTAAAACCCTGAGCCAAATAGCTGAGCAGGCTCCTGCTGCAGCATTGTGGGGGCCAGGAAGTTAAATGGTTCTCCTAATCCTGCATAATTTATCTCCCTGTTAGCCCCCTCATAAATAGTCCATTTCAGCCCCACCATGGAGAGCTTAATTCTCTGAATTTCCTATTTTTGTGATGACCAACGAGTGCCCAGCCTTTCCCTTCTTCTCTCTTTATTATTATTATTAAAAATTATTTTCCCCTTGTTCACTATGAGTTTGCCTTAATGTTTTTTTCATTTTGAACCTCCTGCCTGGATCCCACTTCAGCAACAATCTGTCCATTTCTCTCATTTGGACCTAATATTAGAGCAGTTGGTGCTACAGTCTTTGCCTCCTTCTTTTTTCCCAGCTTTCTAGTGCCTCTTTTTCTCCTTCCCCATTTTCTCTTTTTAAATCTATCACCTCTCCTTTCCCATCACTTCCAATTTTTTCTCCTTTCCATTCCCTTTGTAGTCCCTCTTTCCAGTGACCAACCTTATCTATCGCAGGATGTTTGGTAGGCCATTTTAAAAGGGCACTGAATTGCTTTTTTTTCCTTTTTTTTTTCACATCTCCATTTCTGTTTCATTTCAGAGATTTACAAACGAGGACCACCTGGCAGTTCATAAACACAAGCATGAGATGACATTGAAATTTGGCCCAGCCCGAACTGACTCAGTCATCATTGCAGGTATTTGCTGCCCCAGAAGCCACATGCCTTGATATCACCAGACAGTTAAGATTAATACTAGGGACCAGATGTACTGGGAGCTATACTCCCCTTCTCCCATTAAGAGCCCTTATGTGATCTGCATTTAATCAGGAAAAAGGAACACTAAAACCTCCCAAGTTTCTAGTGTGCCCTCTACACTGTTTTTAATACTAGCTTGGGTTCTGAGGTTTTTGAGGGTAGGTGTGTTGAGGTTTTGTCTTAGCTTTTTTCAGTCTGTTCCCTCCTTGCCTTCTTTTTACTAAGACTTTGGAAGATTTATAGACAAAAGATGCCTTTGACATTTCTCCCTACCCACAATGAAGGGATGAACAAAAGCGAGGAAGCCGACCTCGTCTGGCTGCTTCTCTTCCACTGGGTGTCAGTTTTCCCCGAGCAGGCAGATTGTCAGTTCGTAAATTCAGCTTCCCTTGTGAACCCAGACACCACTGAGGGCACGTTTCCAATGCTCAAACAAGACATTTGTCACTGGGACTTTGCTGTGCAATTTGGGTGACCTGGAACCTCTCACCAGTTGTTTTAAAGTTTGTCTTGCTTACATATACCATCTCAGGGGACCATTCTCAGCAACATCTCTCAAACCGTGCAGCAGTTCTATTGTGTCATTTTCAGCTAGACAGACATACAAACCAAAGCGGGCTTTTTCTTTTGATACCATGAGAGGATCTGATTTAACCTGAGTTGAGCAAGCTCACCTCAATATTTAACTTCTCTCCATACTTTTGTACATGAAGAAAGGGACTTGCCCTTACAGATATCCTATTCCTTATTAATTAAGCAAATATTGGCTGAATATCTACTTTGCTAGGAGCTTGCAGATTGTAATTCCTGAAAAAGGACATGAGTAGATCATTAATGATCCTTAAGAAAGCCTGGGGGAGCCCTGGCTGGGTAGCTCAGTTGGTTAGAGCGTCATCCGATACACCAAGGTTGCAGGTTTGATCCCCAGTCAGAGCACATACAAGAATCAACCAATGAATGCATAAATAAATGGAACAGCAAAATTGATGTTTTTCTCTCTCTCTAACTGAAATCAATAAATTAAAAGAAAAAAAAAAGAAAAAAGCCTAGTGGAGGTTTTAGAGGGAAGTGTGAATAGGGTATAAACATATATTTAGGTAACACATACTTAAACTTATTAAGTCAGTGCATATATTCATGAAAATAATTTTAGTATTTGTAGTCTAGTACAAGTGAATAATACAGATGATAAAAATACCAAGAGAATTAATATTAAATGGAATTAATCAGAGACAGTTTATAAAAGAGATAGATTTGAGGCAAGGTTATCAAGTTGGTGAGGTGATTACAAATGGGTAGAAAGGCCTATGCTGAGTCTCCAGGAGTGGTGAGAGAAATTGATACAAAATAGTCCCACCAAGAGAAAGTGATTTTCTGTTATTCTTTGCATGCTATTCTTGAGTGCTCATCCCATTGCATGTGACTTCAGCTATCCTATCTAGGCAGGTAATTCTCATATCTGTAAATTATGACCCAGTGTCTCACATGTATTCCAACCCCTAATTGAATTGGCTTTCTGTTGTTCAAATCTTCATGTCAGTGACCTAATTTATCTTTGTCCCCTAAACCAACTTCTTCTCCTTAGTTATTCAATGATGGTGTCCTCAAAATCTTGAGTTATTTTATTTTTTTCCTTCAGATTCTCTCTGTTCTATTCCATCGTGCTCTTCCTGCCACCACCCTCGTTATCGTTGGATTCCTCCATAGTCTCCTAGCTGATCTCTCTCCTTGACTAGTCTCTTATTATAATCCATCTTATCTCTTATTATAATCCATCCATCTACCAATTTTATTGAAAAGCCAATCTTGCCCAGCTGGCTTGGCTCAGCAGTAGAGTATCAACCTGTGATCCAGGAGATCAAGGTTGGATTCTGGATCAGGGCACGGGCCTGGGTTTTGGGCTCGATCCCCAGCAGAGGGTGTGCAGGAGGCAGCCAATCAATGACTCTCTCTCATCAATGATGTTTCAACTCTCTCTCCCTCTCCCTTCCTTTCTTTCTGAAATCAATAAAAATACATATTTTTAAAAGCCAATTCTTCTCCACTCAAAATCTGTCATTATCTTACTTTAAGGCTATTTATACTTGGATTTTCAGGCTTTCTATAACCTAACCCCATGGTACCTGCCCAACTTTATACACAACTTATATATCTAACATGATTATCTTTTGACCTTGACATACCTTTTTCTCCTCATCTATACATGGTGCCCATACCCTGCCTCTCTCTGTGCCTTCACCCACCGTACTGCTCTAATCTTCCCAAATCTTCTCTTCTGTTTACCATCTAAAGCCATTCTTCAAGGCCCAGCTTAAGTCCTGCTTCTAGAAACCTCCTAACTACTCTGTCGTTAATTTGTCTTTATTAATTTCTGCAATAATTTTATTCTCTACATGACACCAATTTTTTGTATACTGTGATGCTATCTATGTATATTAGTTTTATTTTCTCAACTAGAAAGCATTCTCTTATTCTCTAGGGCTAGAGCCATGTCTTATATTTGGGCAAAACTCCTATACTCCCATTTTTCTTGTCCCCAGATTTCCACATGAGTCTATCCCTGTAGCACCAAAACATAGAAAGTATTCAGTAAACACTTGTTGATTGCTTCAGAATCATCAGAGCAGGTTAAGGTTTTTCTTATATGTTTTCTTATACATTGTTCAGGAATGGGAGAAGTTTGTATGAGCCTCAGATCAGAGATCCAAAGGCCCTCTTCTGCCATAGCCATGCCCTTAGCTGCCCCATCCTGGTTCACTTGAGTTGTAATTTTTTGTGTGTGCTTACTAAAGTTCTCTCTAAGCATAAAGGATGATATTACTTCTACTCACCCAAGGATGGAGGAAAAGTGGCTTTATCGTTGGCCAACCAAAGCTGCCAGAGAAGCTTTTAAAACTATTTTGGGAGGTAGTGGCAACTTTTCCAAACACTCTGATTCAGAAGAGGTTTTGTTTAAATTTTTTTTTTAATTATACTGTTTCCATGGAAAATCCCACTGGACTATTCCCAATTGATCATGGTAGAAGGAGCGATTTTAACCCCAGGTCTCACTCCTTAAAATATTATTTAAACATTGTTCTATTTCTATCATTCAATCTAGTGGTTTGGGGTGTGAGATGAATCCATGAGGTAACTATCATGTCAAGGAAAACCATCTAATAGAGTTAGGATCAGGGAACAAGATTCAACTGACGTACGAGAAAAACTAGAAAAGCAGAGTGGGGAGAGAGAAGTTCAAATCTAAAATTCAAATTGCTTGAAAAGTTGCCATGGTACAGAGAGCCTTCCTCTTCCCAGGGGCAGAGGCACTGTGTTGAGGAAAGATTTGTGCAGCCCCTGAGAGGATATTTTGGCTGGCAAATCTAAATCCAAATATCCTGGTTTCCGGAATTTGCTCTGGGCCCAGGTCTCTGTTCTATTGTTTGCCGTTTCCTTTTCTAGCTCATGATCTTGCTGTCTTGTTCCCTGACCCCTAGATTTGCCTAGAATGCCTTTAGAAGGTAACAGATCCTTACCTCAGTGCCCACTGGGAGATAATGCACTGTCCCTAATTTGATAGTGTTAGCAAGCAAACAACCACCTGATCCTCAGTTTCTTCTCCTCACCAGACTTTAACATTCCTCTGCTTATACCTCCTCATTTCAGACCTAGCAGGGAGTAAGTTTAAAGAGAAAATGTTGCTTAACTGTACTTGATTTTCAAATCTGGGGATTTCACAAACTCCACCTGGGTGGGTGGTTTGATTTTGTTTGGTGGTGAGGGAGGTGAAACCAACTTCTGGGAGAAAGGTGGTTACATGGATAGTCACACAACAAAACATTGTTCGTCTTCCCTCTGCTGGCCTTGAGGCAACACAGCACAGACACCCTCTGGTGGCCTAGCACCGGCCTTCACCTACTAGAGCTCCATAAAAGCAAATTTGCCCAAACACCAGACTCTCTCCAAAATGGATGACTAAAATGTGTTCTCTATATACTGACAAGTTTTAATTTCAGGTCAAAACTAAAATAGAATTTCCTTTTCTTTTCATGTCTACAGATCAGACTCCTACTCCAACTAGATTCCTGAAGAACTGTGAGGAGGTGGGGCTCTTCAATGAACTAGCTAGCTCCTTTGAACATGAATTCAAGAAAGCTGCAGATGAGGATGAAAAAAAGGTAAGAGGCAGGACTTACTGAAAAACTGGTGGTGTTCGGATCTAGGCTATTCTCATTGTTCCCTGGGATAATTTGCTTAGTTGGTTAGAGCACAAAATTACAGGCTTGGTTCCACAGAAACAGAGAATACCCACCAATCCTAGTCAGCCATCCAGACAATGCATCAGTGCAAGTTTGTCTTCACCAAAAATCAGTCTTCCTGGACTTCCAGTAGAGCATTAGTTTAGTAATCTGTTTGTTAAAATTGTTTGGTTTGAGTGTAGCTGACATGGCTCAGCAGTTGAACATTGATCTGTGATCCAGGAGATTGCGGTTTGATTCCCTGTCGGGGCACATGCCTGGGTTGAGGGCTTAATCCCCAGTCAGGGGCGTGCAGGAGGCAGGCGATCAATGACGACTCTCTCATCATTGATGTTTCTCTCTCTCTCTCTCCCTCTCCCTTCCTCTCTCTGAAATCAGTAAAGACTTTTTTAAAAATTATTTGTTTTTAATATTTTGAAGATATTAAAAGATTATAAGTTAATCATATTTTGTTAGATAAGTGGGGGTTTTTTGCCAAATCCCACTCTTTTCTGAGACTTCTCACCTGGACTGTTTTTACTTAACCAGCCAATCAATAAATATTTATTGAATTTAGACTCTTCTTTGTTTCAGTGTATGTGGCTCTTACCTTCAAATAACTTTCTAGTAATATTCAAGACATTAAGCTTAAAGAAGGATGATTTTTTAAAATTTGTTTTTCAGTTATAATTTACATTCAGTATTATTTTGTATTAGTTTCAGTTGTACAGCATAGTAGTTGGACAATCATACATATACTTTACAAAGTGTTCCCCCCAATATTTCCAGTGTCTACCGGGCAACATAGTTGTTATATTATTATTGACTATATTCCTTATGTTTTACTTTACATCCCCATGACTATTTTGTAACTACCAATTTGTACTTCTCGATCCCTTCTTTTGTTTGTTCATTTATTTTGTTCATTAGATTCCACATATAGGTGAAGTCATATGGTACTTGTCTTTCTCTGACTGGCTTATTTCACTTAGCATAGTTCCCTTCAGGTCCATTCATGCTGTCATAAATGGTAAGATTTCATTCTTTTTTATGGCCAAGTAATATTCCAGTGTATATATGTACCACAGCTTTTTTATCCACTCGTCTATTGATGGGCACTTGGGTTGGTTCCACATCCTGGCTGTTGTAATAACACTGCAGTGAACATAGAGGGGCATATAATCTTTCAAATTAGTGTTTTGGGGGTTTTTCAGATATATACCCAGATATGGAATCACTGAGTCAAATGGCAATTCCCTTTTTTAAAAAATATGTTTTTAATGATTTCAGAGAAAGGAAGGGAGAGGGAGAGAGATAGAAACATGAATGATGAGCCATTGATCAACTGCCTCCTGGGGATTGAGCCAGCAACCCAGGCATGTGCCCTAACTAGGAATCGAACCATGACCTCTTGATTCATAGGTTGATGCTCAACCACTGAGCCACAGGCCCATTTTTAATTTTTTGAGAAAACTCCATACTGTTTTCCACAATGGCTACACCAATCTGAATTCCCACCAACAGTGCCAGGAAGGTTTCATTTTTTCCACATCTTTTCCAACACTAGTTGTTTGTTGATTTACTGATGATAACCATTCTGACAGGTGTGAAATGATAGTTCATTGTGGTTTTAACTTACATTTCTCTCATGATTAGTGACCCTGAACATCTTTTCAAATGTCTGTTGGCCATCTGTGTATCCTCTTTGAAGAAGTACCTAATCAGGTCCTCTGTCCATATTTAATTGGATTTTTTTTGGTGTTGAGTTATATGAGCTCTTTATAAATTTTGGATATTAACCCCTTGTTGGATGTATCATTGGCAAATACCTTCTCCCATTCAATAGGTTAGCATTTTGCTTTGTTGATGGTTTCTTTTGCTGTGCAAAAACTATTTAGTTTGATGTATTCCCATCTGTTTATTTTTTCTTTTGTGTCCCTCACCCAAGGAGATATATCAGAAAAAATATTGCTAAGAGAAATGTCAGAGATTTTACTGCCTATGCTTTCTCTTTTGGCAGAGGGGGTTGTACCAAATTACTTTATTTGAAGGAATGTATGAATGAAAGAACATAAGTGGATGACTTAGTACAAGTTATAGAAAAAGTAAAGGTAACTCCAACATGCATGTACCACTTTGGTGGACCAAGCAAGTCACCTCCATGGCTATGGGAAGCCAGCCTAAGGCTTAGCTCTCTTCATTGTCTCCCAGGGTGTGCTTGTCAAAACTGCTATGCCAGTTTCAGGGGCCTCCAACCTGCGCAAGTTGGTTACATGGTCACCCAAGTCTTCTGTGGTTTTACTTGCTCATTCAGGTAGTGAGTCTCAATGAGGTCAAACAAATGAGGGTCATTTTTGTCAGTGGCCAGTTTGTACAATATCAGTAGTGACTAACTCACACTTTTTTCCAAGTGTAACACACTCCATTGCATTCAGCCCATTCTCCCAGTCACCATGGTCTGGTTTCTGGATATTCTGCAGGAAGATTCAGCCACCTAGTTGGTTCTGCAGCTTTATCAGTTTCTCAGCATATTCCCTTTCTTCATGAGATTGGTGAAGAAAATGTTTGGCAAAGTTCTTCAAAGCCCCATCATCACAGTCAAGTAGTAAGACATGGATAGGTAGAGGTAAGAAGCATAGAGCTCCAGGTTGATCTGGCAGTTGATGGAGGCCTCCGAGTCCTGGTGGTAGTTCCGACACACCTGCAAGGTGGACACGGTCATCATGGTTGGTGGCTAAGGAGAGGCAGAAGCCTGGCACTGGAGGGGTAGTGTGGGCGCCTTGGGGCCCAGGGTGCTATGAGGAGGTGACGGAAGGCTGGATCTGGGTGGCTGGCTGGGATGGGGGTTGAACACCGGTTCTGTCCAAGCACTGGGTTTGTTTGTATGTTTTTTTGTTAATCCTCACCTGAGGATATTTTTTTCCAGTGATTCTTAGAGAGAGTGGGAAGGAGGGAGGGATGGGAAGAGAGAGAGAGAAACATTGATGTGAGAGAGACACATTGATTGGTTGCTTCCCGCATGGCCGGGCTGAGGATCAAACCTGTGACCCTTTTGGTGCTTAGGCCGATGCTCTAACCACTGAGGAGCACTGGCCAGGGCTCCAAGCACTGTTGAAGCAAGAAACCACAGTGATTCTCAGCAAAGACTGTCCTGCCTATGTTTTCTTTTTAATTTATTTGAGAGAGAGAAACATCAATTTGTTATTCCACTTATTTGTGCATTCATTGGTTGATTTTTGTATGTACCCTGACCAGAAATCAAATCTACAACCTTGACTATCGGGACAATGCTCTAACCAACTGAGCAACTTGGCCAGGGCCCTGCCTGTGTTTTCTTAAAGAAGGATGTTCTTTTTTTTTTTTTTTAATATATTTTTATTGATTTCAGAGAGAGGAAGGGAAAGGGAGAGAGATAGAAACATCAGTGATGAGAGTCATTGACCAGCTGCCTCCTGCACGCCCCCAAATGGGGATCAAGCCCACAACCCGGGCATGTGCCCTGACTAGGAATCGAACCGGGATCTCCTGGATCCTAGGTCGATGCTCACACCCAGCCAGGCAAGAAGGATGTTCTTAATGCCTTCCAAAGGAGAACAACCAGGATGGTGAAAGAACTAGAAATTATGTCACTTTGGGAATATTTTAAAGAAATAGAGGTAGTTTTGCTTGGAAAAGAGAAGATTTAATGTGAACAAAAGTTCAGTCTTAAGTATTTGAAGAGTTTTCATGTAAAAGAAGGGTCAAACTTATTTTGTATGGCTCAGAGGTAGAAATATGGCCAACAGGTGGAAGCTGTCACAATGCGTATTCAGTTATATGTAGGTCACTTAGTATAGATATTGTAGAGGATTGAAATGCTGGGATGCCTTCACTCCTCAGGTGCTATGATTCTGATTTTAGGCTTTATATTCCAAATTGCTAGAAAATCCTTCAATTTGAAAGACCAGAGGAAATAGTTCAAGAAGCAGAGTCAAATAAAAATAGTTCCCATGGTATAAGGAATTTTGGGGGAAAGGAAACTAGAAAGGTCAAAGTTTATTAGTTTATTCTAATTCTACTTTAGAATTAGAATTCTGAGTTATTAGTCACTATTTAAAATCAGGTCTGTGTTCCATAAGAATTCAGAAAAATTCCAATATATGATCTCAAAACATATACACGTTAACCATATGTACCTTCCCTAATTGCATGATGCTGTGAGACATGAAATCCCGTCAGAATATAGAAAAGCCAGAATATAAGAAAAAATATCCAGGAAAGCTGTTTCCTTCTAAGGAGTATATATGATTTTTCCATACAGCTTAAATTGTAAGAATGCAAAATAAAATGTCCTTATAACTGGAGGTCTTTCCAAATTCCATAGCTTTCTATGAGCTGCTTTTCATGCTATCTTCCTCAAACTGAAAGAAAGCAGACCAATTGAGTGGCATGTATTTGTAGTTCTACTTTCAAAATGCAGAACTAACCTTATCATCATTCTTTTTCTTTGGATGCCCAGGTCTCTCATTTTTCAGTTTCTTCATCCTATATGGTATAATTTCTCCCTCCCCCAAAACAAAGAAATCAGTCAGTTAAGCAAGCTAAATTACCAAAAAAAAAAAAAATCAAATTATTTCCACCAGGAAGTGAGGGATTTTAAACCAAACTCATTATAGACAAATTTAAGAAAATGATCCTCCCTTGAAAAGCTTCAGGTCTTTCCATTGCCATTTTCATTCAGTTGACACTTCTGAGACGCTATTCATAGTTGGTCGGGCCTTTACTCATTGCGTATCTCTTGATGTTTCTTCCTGCCTATACAGAGGCGGTCTTCACATTGCCCTGATGAGAAGCACAGACGCAATGTAAGATTATCTCCAGGAATATTTTATGAGTCCACACTTTTCTGAACCACAGCTTTTTTAGGAGATGCCCCGACAGAATTTTAAACTTGTGGTTGAGAGGCCTCTCCTTCCCACCACCCTCTGACTTCAGGGATCCCAGGATTAGCTCAGTTGGGCCTGACATCTTAGCAATGTAGAAAAAGTGAGGGCAGAAATGAAACCATCTTTGCCGTTGCTCGCCTCCATCATATTGGAGAAAAAGAACCATTACCACTTTCTCTAATGTGATAGACACCAGATTACCTTCAGTTTGCTCAACTACCAAGAACCTTTTTAGGGATTAAGGTAGCAAGGGGAGAATTAGAAACAAATTACTCTTTCACCAAGAATTCTAGGATATGGGAAGAGTAGAACAAAGGATCCACGTTGTCATAAAACTGAACTGCAGTGCCAGCAGTTCATGCCTCTGTCATGGTGCAGTCTCAGGACTGTCATCTCGGATTGTTTATTGTTCCCTGCAAAACAGTTTATGGCTCTGAGGTTCTGTGAGGTGATGGCACCACTGCTAGGAAAGTACTCTGTTTTCTTTTTTAATTTTTTTTATGTCTTTATTGATTTTAGAGAGAGGAAGGAAGGGAGAGAGAGAGAGAAACATCAATGATGAGAGTCATTGATTGGCTGCCTCCTGAACACCCCCTACTGGGGATTGAGCCCGCAACCTGGGCATGTGCTCTGACCAGGAATTGAACCTCTATCTCCTGGGTCATAGGAGAAAAGTGAAGCCTAGGTTTTATGTACAACTTTGGCCAAATCCTTTCACTTCTCAGGCTTTTGCTTCCCTAACTATAAAATGGAGATAACGCCTGCTTCACCAAAGGTGAATACTTAGAAAGATTCCAAAAGGGAAAAAATAATTATAATGCTTATAAAGATCCTAAAAGAAAAAACCCACTGAGCCACACTGGCTGGGAAGTACTCCCTTTTCTTTCTGGTTTTCTCCAGTCCTACTTCTAGGACCAAGTTCTAATTTTTCTCACTGCTCAAGTAATTAGTCTTTCCTTTCTTTGTTACCCTGAAGCCCTATCTTTCTAACTTGTAAGCTCTAGCATCAAATTTTGGGATGAACTCACTATCAAACATGGGGCATTCCCCAGAAAAGGTCTTTCTTAAGTTGTTTTCAGTACTTTAATAGTCAATTTGTCTTCATTTGCTTTTGATAATTGGGTAATCTAGTCATTCTGGTTGGCAGAGAAATTGTTCACAGTTCTCCAGTGGCCAATAGAACGGGTTGGGGAAAGGCAAGCACTGGATTCAGGAATCATTTTACTTTCCTGGAAAATAATATCATAATACTCGGATGGATTTAAATGACAGCTTTTTTCCCCTTTCAGAATCTTTCTAAGTATTCACCCTTGGTGAAGCAGGTATTATCTCCATTTTATAGTTAGGGAAGCAGAAGCCTGAGAAGTGAAATGATTTGGCCAAAGTTGTACATAAAACCTAGGCTTCACATTTCTTTGACTTGCAACTCATTGCTTCAACCAAGGACCTAACTTCTTAGAAGTATATTCCCTCATCTTTTAACTGGGAGCTACAGATTCAACCAGCAGGAAATCATGGGGTTAAATGATGCTCATTTCTCTCTTTTAACAGGCTGCTACAGGGCCCCTTGACATGTCTCTGCCTTCCACACCAGACATTAAAATCAAAGAAGAGGAGCCAGTGGAGGTAGACTCATCCCCACCTGACAGTCCTGCCTCCAGCCCCTGCTCCCCGCCACTCAAGGACAAGGTAAAATTCTCTACCAAAAGTCATCCCAAATGTTCATTAACAGATTACATTTTGATTTATTAGTTGTATAAATAATATGTGAGACAGGAGGATGGAGTATATTCAAATAAATGTTAATCATTCAGAAGATTTATATAAATTACACCTACTCTATGACCCAGCAGTCTATGTGGAAATGAAATTAGTGTGTATGCCCATCCAAAGAAGTGTATAAGAATGTTCATAACATTTTTATTGATAATAGTGAAAAAAACTGGAAATGGTTCATCAACAAGAAAATGAATAAAGTGTAGTATATTTATAAAATGGAATACTACATGGCATTAAAAAAGAATGAACTAATGACATACACAGCAAATGAATGAATCTCACAAATGTTAGATTTGAACAATAACAAAAAAATTCAGACACAGAAGTATACTATATGATTTTATTTACATCAGGTTAAAGAAAAGGCAAAATTATTTGATGGTGATAGAACTCAGAATGTTTAACCTCTTGTGAGGAAAGATGGATTGGGAAGGGATGCAGGAGAACCTTCTGGAGTGCTGGAAATGGGCTCTGTCTTGATTTTACATATGTAAAAAGTTACTTAGTTGTATCTTTTAGATTAATGCACTTTACTGTATGTATGTTGTACCTCAATAAGTGAGAAAGAAAATTGCATAGTTTATAAACTGGACATTAAACAATTTAGAAAAAAGTCTTCACAGAGGGAAGTCATCTAGTGACTTAAAGGGAGTATCTGCTAGGATTCTGAATATTTTTTTAAAGGAAACTTGACAGAATGGTATTTTTTTATAAATTTATTGAAATATAGTACATGTATGTACAGAAAAGTTCATAAATTGTAATTATACAGGTCTCTGAATTTTCACAAAGTGTACAGATTTTGTAACTAGCACCCAGATATTATCAGGACCTCAGAAGCCCCCTCATGCCTCCTTCAGTCAATACTGTCCTACCAGCAATTATTAATTTTAATATCCACTTTGAGTAAGTGCATCTACACTTCACTTTACTTCCTTCCAAATTTGGTTTGATAACTTCCCCAAACCACTCCCTTCATAAACATTACAACCCCCTCCCCACCAAAAACCCCACAAACATTACAGCCTTCCCTTCTCTTTCTCCTTTTCATCAGTAACCAGGTCCTAGAAGCTGTCTGGAGATTTTTTCATGGCCAGTGTGTCCTCTGGTAACCTAAGATCCTAATAAGTTAACAGTGGAAAGCAGTTTGTTTTATTACAATATGATCATTATTTAAACTTCCATAGCCCTTTTTTAAAGAAGATATTGTGTTGTCTTGTCACCAGTCTTATACCTGCCTTTTCCCGTTAGAGATCACAGGACACCAAATTTAAAATGACAGTATCAAGTTTAGAATGACAGTATCTAGATTGTGAAAAATTATAACAATTTTTTAAACTCATGTGATACTACAATGCTTCTACAGAGATTTCAAGTGATTTTTCAACTGTCATTCATATAGCCATCATCCCTGATGAAAGGGAGATGGCCAAAAGGTCTTAACTCAGCATTTTTACTGAATGGATAAGTGAGGTATGGTCCATGACCATGGAGCCAACATGACTTACTCTTTCCAATAAATTTGTACTAGATTTTACCAGCTTTGTATTTCCTTATAAGTGGCCCCTTAAAGCACTTTGTGATCTGTTGGTCTCTTCTCCCCAGGAGGTTGCCCCAAAGCCTGTTGTGATCTCTACCCCAACGCCTACCATTGTACGCCCTGGGTCCCTGCCTCTCCACTTGGGCTATGATCCACTTCACCCAACCCTTCCCTCCCCAACCTCTGTCATCACACAGGCTCCACCATCCAACAGGCAACTGGGGTAAGTAAAGAGCAGAGAGAAATAATGAAGCCTGAAACTTTTTCTACTTTGTAAAATTATTTGATAAAACAGGGACTATTTGAATACTCAAGAAAATGAGTCACTGTGATTGTCTCTCAAAATAAAAATTTTCCCCCCATAAATAGATTCCTTTCCCTTTTGAATAGACCAGCAAGTATTTATTTGAGGATAATACTTCATTAATTTGGAGGTTTAATACTTCTTTGATCTAAAAGAAGAAGCCTTAAAACATTAGGACGTTCATCATAATGGTAGAGACCGCACAGGAAATTATATTTAGTTCTTGGCCTCAATCTGTAGACATTTATTGGAGCACTACTGAACGAGGGGCTGAAACCCATTAAGTCATCTTTTTATAGTGTTTCCTTCAGTTCCAGTTAGGATTCTTGATCTTTGCTACCCCTAATTTTATTTGTCTTCACTCCTGGCACAGCCTGTACAGATTTCATAATGGGATGACAACATGTACCTAGCTAGATACCCACTGAGTTAAGAGGTTATTGTCAGAATTCAGCCTTTTGAAGCTTACTGTTCTGTGGATCCACTAAGAAAAATACAAAGGGACATCTTTTTGGACAGGGTAGAGCAAAATGTGGAAAGGAACAAGAGAAACTTACTCATATTTGGGTATCATATGACATGATTCACCTTTGCAAAATGACAACTTTTGTCCAAGTCTCCCTCACCTAAGGCAAGACAGAATTTATACATGGCAGTGATAGAGATGTTTATTTAATTGTTCAAAACTATTTTTTTAAATATGTTTTTATTGATGAGAGAGAAGAAGCAAGAAGGAAAGAGAGAAAAACATCAATGTGAGAGGAACATTGATTGTTTGCCTCCCGTACACACCCCAACCAGGGATTGAACCTGCAACTTGGGCACGTGCCCTGACTGGGAATCAAACCAGCAACCTTTTGGTGCACAGCATGACGCTCAACCAACTGAGCTACACTGTCCAGGGCAATTGTTCAAAACTCTTAATAGGATTTGCTTCCCACCCATTTGAGTTCAGTGGTGTTTGTTTAATTTGCCAGGTATAAAGATCTTGTAGCATTCCCTGCTTTTTTCACCTTCATGAGGGTGTCAAGATTTTACAATGCTGCCCTTTAACTTCCCTAACTAGGGAAGACTGGAAAATCTGCTATATTAGAGAAGGAAGATCCATAGGCAAAAGGGTCTGTATTATGAGCATTTCACTTCATGTGTCCTCCAGGTCCCCCACTGGCTCCCTTCCTCTTGTCATGCATCTTGCTAATGGACAGACCATGCCTGTGCTGCCAGGGCCTCCAGTACAGATGCCTTCTGTTATATCGGTAAGCACTGTAGTTGGGACATTCAACCCTACCAACACACAATCCCTCCCTTCCACCTGAATGCTCATAAATACACACAAGCCCCAGGGAAATGTGGGCTCTGGTCTGTATGGCAGACCAGTTGAGCATGGCAGCCTGCTCAAACACTTAACTAACCTCTGCCAATTCAGTACTGTGGGATACTAGACAAAGACTCATCTGGACAATTGGCTCCTGGTCTAGGAATTGATCTTGCCAGCCTGCTGATTGGTTGATTTCATTTGGCACTTAGCACCTCCCAAATTGCCTACTACTTTCCTCAGTATACACCCCCAACTCTTCCCATAGAAATTGTCATAGCACTGAAGGATTCGATTCAGTGCTATGGGGGGGACGTATTTCCCAGGATCCCTGTATGCCCTACGGGCAAGTTGCACAGAACAGGCCCTGATGTGCCAATCTTAAAATCATTGCATTTTGGGAAGCTGTTGCCCCACTAATACTATTATATTCCCTTCTGGTTTTTCTTCCTTCTCTTGATCCAGCTGGCCAGGCCTGTGTCTATGGTGCCCAACATTCCTGGTATCCCTGGCCCACCAGTTAACAGCAGTGGTTCCATTTCTCCCTCTGGCCACCCTATGCCATCAGAAGCCAAGATGGTGAGTACATTCCAGCCTGGAGCAACATTGGCCCTTCCTGAAAGAAGTGGTATCAGCCTAAGTTTTCTAAGTGAGCTAATAAGCAAGGGAACCTTCTGGGACTTGGCAGAGCTAAAGATACCCTGTTGTGAGGCCTATAGGGAAAGAGACCCTGATTTAGGACTCCCGTCTCCTCTCTTCTACCTTTAGAGCTTGGTACATAGACCATGGCAGTGAAGAGGCAGCACAGATTGTTTGGAGTGGAACACTTGCTGTTTCAGTTCCAGGGTGACAGATGGAGGGTGGATGAGTGGGCAAGAGAGCTGGCCAAGAGGTGAATAGCTGCGTAACCAGCACCTGGCCAGCTTCCAGGAGAGAGCTTTCATCTGGACTCTATTGCTTCAGCAGCCTCCACCCTCCAACTGTGCCAAGGATGATAGCCAGGGAATAGAGTAGACATTTTAGGGATCCAGGTGCACACTCTCTCTCCCTGTCATTTTCTTTTAATTCGTCTGTTAAAGGAAAATTGGTGTGGAAATTTTAGCTGTCTGTAAGATCAGTAGTAAAATCCAAGCCCACTCTTCCCACCCTTGATAGAATCTCACCTTTGACAACCTTTTTTTAAAATCTTTTCCCACAGAGACTAAAAGCCACCCTAACCCACCAAGTTTCCTCAATTAATGGTGGTTGTGGAATGGTGGCGGGTACAGCCAGCACCATGGTGACAGCCCGTCCTGAGCAGAGCCAGATCCTCATCCAGCACCCTGATGCCCCATCCCCTGCCCAGCCACAGGTGAGTTGGGCCCTAGGATGGGGGAACCAGCTATGTCACCATTGCTCTTCATGTCCTATGTTTTTCAAGGAGCAAAAAAATTAGAGAAGAATGGATTTCAGCTTTCTGGACACTTTCCTGTGCTCTGGTTCTTGTTGACAGTTTGACAGTAGCAAAATGTACCATTTTTTATTCACCCTTGTGTTATACTTACATGTAAACAGACTAGATAACTGTCACAGAGGAGGTCTAATTTTGGTTTTGTTTTTTATCTATATGTGAATGATGTATGTGCACCAGACAAAGGAGGTTCTCCTAGTCTCTTTCCATCTATTAAGTGTTTAAAAAACATACCAAAAAAAACCCACTTACTTGATTACATTTTACAGCAAAAATCAGATAGTAATGTATTAATAATATGTGATATCACAGTATTAAGATGGCTCAGTAAACAAACACAAAAATACACCTTTTCCTTATCAATTTAATCTCTTAAGAAAGAGCAGTCCCATTAGATGCCCAATTCTTTTCTCAAGGAGGCCTCAGTTTTAGTAAATTTTTTTGAAAACTAAATAGGCCTCAGTTTTGTATTATCTATACTGGACAGGTGACAACAACCTGAGATCAGTTTCTAGAGTTGCATTCTTTGCCCAGCCCCTTTTCCTGATGTCACCACCTGCTTCATCATTTACCACCACATGTTCTAACATTTAATAGCCATATGCTGCCTTAAAGCTTGGCCAACAACAAAAACCTTCATTGGAGTTTTCTTGTTGGAAGCTAAGCCTGCCTACCCTCATGTATCCCCTTCCAGTGCCAGTCCCTGGAGATGGTAGAGGAGCAGCCCCTTGCCCAGTTGTGTTGCTTTGCCTCTTGTTGTTGTTGTTGTTGTTAATCCTCACCTGAGGATATTTTTTTCCATTGCTTTTCAGAGGGAATGGAAGGGAGGGAAAGAGAAAAAAACATTGATATGAGAGAGACACATCCACTGGTTGAGCTTTGCCTCTTGAGGAAATGACATGACCTCCTTTTTAGTCACCACTGATTCCTTCTCATTCTTCCCTTTCTCTCAGCCTGTTCTTTCACATCCATTCCCTGAGTTGCCTATGAGAGAACAGGAACCTATCATTTCCTTTTCCCATCCTTGGTAAAGCACCAGTCTTTACATGTGTTCCTTTGAGCTCAGGACAAAGAGGAAATTTTGAATCTCAAGAGAATTAGTATAAACTTCCCTTGGTATAGTGAGAAGCAATGACCTAAAACCTCTAGCTCATTAAATTGAATTTGAAATTTCCTCCCCATTTTTTTCTTTTGGGAGAGATATTAGTCTAAATAAATAAAATTATCTCTTGGTTATCTTAATGAAGAACATGATTCAGCAGGGCCTGAAGCAGAGTATAAGATTCTGTTTTTTATAAGATCATGCTTATTCTCATGCAACTTGTGTGAGTTCTGGCATTTGGGAGCTACTAATACAGATATTCTGTACTAGCCACAGATCTAGAACAGCTTTATTTTTGGCATTGTTTTGTATTTATAGTTTGTTTTCTACAGATCATTTACCTTTCTACATTTTAATTTTTGCTATTATAAAATTGGTCTATCTTCTCAGGACACAAACCAGCTAACAGAAAGGCAAGATGATCCAAAAGTGCTTTAGTGTCCAGGGACATCAGCCTGAAGTTTAAAGACAAAAGATAATCCTGTATCGCCGATTTGTAAAGGGATTAAAAATGCTCTTCTCTTTAAGAAAGAACAAACAGAACAACACAAACAGGATGGGGGAAGGGTTGATGAGGATGATTAATAACTGATTATAAATAAAAATATATTAATCCATAGTTTTCCATAATAATTCTCACTAGTAGTAAAATCTTTTTTCCCCCCTGAAACTCGTAGCATCCAGTTGTTTGTACATATTGCTGTCCAAATCAGTGATTTGTAAACTTTTTATTCTGGTCTTGGTAAAAGTTCCCGATACCCTCCTTTATGCTTTCCATTCCTACAAGATTCCCTATTCTTAAGAAACAAAAAGTGATCCTAGTTTCATTTTGTCTGTCTGTCTCAGAAATAATCAGTTTCCAACTGAACTCTGTCTGGTTGTCTAAGTATGGGACTGAGAGGACTGGAAGGAAATGGGAGGCAGAATGAGGAACAACTACAAAAGAGAAGCTAAGGGACATAGTGATGAGACTTGCTGTGGTTACAGACTGGTACATCCCTTTACCAGATCTTACTAATATACCTATCGTCAGGTTTAATTTGGAAAGGATTGACGTTCCTTTCAAGTAACTCCTTTTCACTCCTGGGCAACAGGTCTCACCAGCCCAGCCCACTCCTAGTACAGGAGGGCGACGGCGGCGCACAGTGGATGAAGATCCAGATGAGCGGCGGCAGCGCTTTCTGGAACGCAACCGGGCTGCCGCCTCTCGCTGCCGTCAAAAGCGGAAGCTATGGGTGTCCTCCCTAGAGAAGAAGGCAGAGGAACTCACGTCTCAGAACATTCAGCTGAGTGTGAGTGGGTCCTGGATGATTGTTGGGATTGTTGAGTCTTGAAAGTAGGGTTGAATGAGAAAAAAGTAGGACAATCTAATAGCAAATGGTAATTCTTTAAGTTAGGACAGATCCAGAAGATGTTCCAGGAAGAATGCAGGAAGACTGTCTTATAGTCAGAGTTGAAATCTCTTCCCCAGGGATTGGAAAATACATCATCTACTCCAAAATCTGCTACTAGAATGAGTCATGAATAGACCCATTTGGTTGAAGGGAATTAGATTAAGCATCCCAGGATGCTCTTTTAAGTCATCAGTAAATCAGACTGGGGTCATGGAAAACCCAAAGGGAAATGCATTTGCCCCAGATAATATAGCTTAATAAAAGAAAGAAAGAAAAAGCCACATAAGCATAAATAGAACAGTTATAATCCATATATTTTCTTGAATATTATTTTCCCTTCTTCTGATTACTTAAAATATTTCATTACAAGGAAATACATACACACAAAGAGGTATAGAATGAAAACAAAAACCCTCTTCAGTATGCCTTTCCAGACTTTTCTTCCCTGTAGGAAAGTTTAATGTTACCTCCCAGACATATATGTATTTCTTTCTATCTTATTTTTAATTACAGTAGTACACTTTTTTTTTTAAGAGAGGGAGAAACATTGATTTGTTTTTCCACTTATTTATGCATTCATTGGTTGATTCTTGTTTGTGCCCTGACCGGGGATCACGCCCACAACCTTGGTATATCTGGATGACACTCTAACCAACTGAGCCACCTGGCCAGGGCCCAGATGTACGTGTATTTCTAAATATTATTTTCATTTATAGTTTTTGTAGGGGAGTCAGGGAGGGATTATGTGTTTGTTTTGACATAAATAGGTTAACAGTATCTCCTGGAGATCTATCCATGTATATAGAAGACCTACCTCATTTATTTATTTATTAAATATATTTTTATTGATTTCAGAAAGAGGAAGGAAGAGGGAGAGAGAGAGAGAAACATCAATGATGAGAGAGTCATTGATCGGCTGCCTCCTGCACGCCCCCGACTGGGGATGGAGCCCACAACCCGGGCATGTGCCCTGACCAGGAATCGAACCCTGACCACCTGGATCCTAGATCGACGCTCAACCACTGAGCCACACCCGTCCAGGCCCTACCACATTTTTTTAAATAGCTGTATAGTAGTACATCCTATAGTGTGATTATATTATAAGGTATGGATATTTATAGTGTTTCTAATCTTTTGCTAGGATAGCAGTGCTGCAGTGAACATTGTATGCACTTGAGTAGGTAGTTCTGTTAAATAGACTCATGGAAGCAGATTTCCTTAGTCAAAGGACATATGCATTATTAATTTTGGTATATTCATGTTTATCCTATATAGGAATAATTTTCTATTGTAAATCCCTACTTTACAGTGTAAGCAACTCCTGTCATTGAACTCAAGACTACTATCCCTGAGCTGTCTTATCTTAAGCCTTTCTGGATCAGAAGTCTCCAGATTCTGAGGACTAAATCAGGCAGCAAGCACTCTGTCGTCAGTTTGAGAGATAGTCACTGGGGGTTAAAGAGTGAAGGATGAATTTTCTTGATACTCTTTTCTTCCCTCTCTCCTCAGAATGAAGTCACGTTACTTCGCAATGAGGTGGCTCAGTTGAAACAGCTACTGTTAGCTCATAAAGACTGCCCAGTCACTGCACTACAGAAAAAGACCCAAGGCTATTTAGGTGAGTGGCTCACAACCTAAGCAAGGTCAGTCAGTCAGTAAACAATGTACTGAGTGTCTCAACTGTTTATAATTTTAACTCCATTCTGAATGTTCTGGGGGGTCCAGACTGAAGAGGGAGCAGCCTTTATGCAACAACCAGTCCTACAAAAAAATTTTTTTTGAGAAAAATACAGAATTATCCCAATTACCTCTCATAGATAAAGGGTGGCTGTGTTTATTGGGAGCCTACTTTGTGTTAGGCACTCTACCATCTTTCCATTTCTCTTATGAAATAGATATATTATGTCTACACCTGGGAAAACTGCACTCGGATTAGTCACCTACCTGAAGTTATGTAGCTGGTGAAGTGGCAGAGCCAGGACTCACATCCAGGTCTTTCTTATTTTAAAGACAGTGCCTTGGCCTCAAAGAGGAAATAAACAGCAGATGACACAGTGGGGTTTGTTAAGCATCATGATTTGGAGATATATTTTACCTTTCTAATGATGGGCTGATGTTGGTTTTGGTTCGTAATCTATGAGCACACATAAAATAGTACAAGAAGGAAATGGTCACAAGAGTTTTGTTCGGGACAAGCTCAATCCTAAAATCAAAGTAACTGCAAACAATGTTCTTACAGATGATAAAAGCTAATAAATCATTTTCTTTTACAGATTAAATAAATTCATAGGAATGTTGGCTATCAAATTTTGATATATTGAATTATTTTTCCACTGTCTATCATATCACAGATGTGTTCCCATAGAAAATGAGTAACCACATCACCAATTTTAAAGATCTCTATTTAAATTATAATTTTAATATGTACTTCAGGGCACATTCATTTACTAAGCAGATGTTGACTGAGCCTGTTCTGTGTCAGGCACCGTTTTACATTCTGAGGATATAATTGGGAACCAAATAGATTAGATTAAACTCCCTGCCCTTGAGGGGCTTATCTTTTGAGAAAGACAATAAACGAGATAAATAGGTACAATATATGGCATATTAGATAAGAGTAAATGCTTGGAAGAAAAAAATAAAACAGAAGAGAAATATGAAGTGTTGGCAGCAGGGTTGAAATTTTAGCTGAGGTGCTTTTGAATAAAGACCTTAAGGAAGTGAGGGAGCTAGCCATGTGCTTATGTGGGAGAAAAATACTGCAGGAGGAAGAGCAAATGCAAAGACCCAAAGTGGGAGTGTGCCTGGCACATTCTAGGAACATCAAGGAGGCTGCGTGACTGGATTGGAGAGAATAGGCCTGGAGAGTAGTTGGAGATGAGGTAGGGAAGGTAAAGGGAGCATCTTTGTGTAGGGCATCATCAGTCATGGTGAGGACCTCAGCTTTTACCCTACACTGGGACCATCAGAGGGTTTTCAGCAGAGCTGTGACATGACTGGCCTGACTTACATTGGAACAGGTTCACTCTGTCAGTGCAGGGGTGCAAAGGCAGAAGCAGGCAGTCTCCACTCCAGAGGCCATTGCAATTATGCACAAGAGATGTTGGCGCCTTGGACCAGGATGGTGGTAGTGAAGGTGGTGAGAAGGAGTTGAATTCCAGATATTTTGAAGTTAGAGTGACAGGGTTTGATAATAGGCCAAATGGGACAGTATATGTGAGAACAAGAAGAATAAAAAATCACACCAAAGTTTTTGGCCCAAACAACCACAAGAATGGATTTGCCATTAAGTGAAGTAGGGGAAAGTATAGGAGGAAATGAACTGGGAGGTATATTTGGAGCTCAGTTTTGGACAAGCTGAGTTTAAGAAGCCTGTTAGTGTTGAAGGTGGAGTCAAGCAGGCAGCTGGTTATATGGGTCTGCAGTTCAGAGGAAAGATTGGAAGATATGACTATGGGAGTCAGTAGCATATAGTTAGTTTTTAATGCCATGGAAACTGGATGAAATGTTATTGTCAGGGGAGGGCCCATAGAAAAAGAGAAGTCCCAGAACTGAGCCCTGGGGTACTGCAACATTTGAGGTCAGAGAGATGAGAAGGAACCCACAAAAGTGACTGAGAATGAGCAGCCTAGAAGGTAGGAAAACCAGCTGAGTAGCTTAGTGTGGTGTTTTGCATACCAAGATGAGAAAGTGTTTTAAGGTGTTTGATCAACCATTTCAAGTACTTTTCATGGGCTTAAAGGAAGACAAGGACTTAGTATCAATTGGTATGAAGTCTATATACAGTAAGTTTCGTACTCAATCCCTATAAGAACTCTGACATGTAGTCAATCCATTAAACTACTTATTTGTTACAGCAAAAATACATTTAGTTCCTGCTGTGTGATGCAGACATTATGGTAGGTCCTTAACACAGGACAAATGAAACACAGTCTCTACCTCTGAGAGACCCATGGAGTTATGAGGAGATAAACATGTCAACCTGTTAGTAGAGTAAGCATAGATATCCCTGTTAAAGAACCCTTAGACTGGGAGCTTCCTAAAGACAGGGCTACCGTTTTGTTTTGTTTGTTTGTTTTATTTTTTGTTTTGTTTGTTTGGTTTTTTAAAATTTATTTTTACTGTTGAAAGTATTACAGGTATCCCATTTTTTTCCCCCCTTGACTCCCTCTACCTTGCTCCCACCCCCTCCCCAGGCCTTCACCCCATTATTGTCTTTGTCCATGGGTTATGCATATATGCATATAACTTCTTTGGTTAATCTCTTCCCACCCTCCACCCCCCCTTCCCTCTTCCCTCTGAGATACGACCATCTGTTGCATGCTTCAGTGTCTCTGGGTCTATTTTGTCAGATTATTTTGTTTATTAGCTTCTCTTAAAGAAGACCCTTCAGCATTTCATGTAATACTGGTTTGGTGGTGATGAACTCCTTTAGCTTTTTCTTATCTGTGAAGCTCTTTATTCACCTTCAGTTCTAAATGATAGCTTTGCTGGGTAGAGTAATCTTGGTTGTAGGTTCTTGTTTTTCATCACTTTTAATATTTCTTGCCACTCCCTTCTGTCCTGCATAGTTTCTGTTGAGAAATCAGCTGACATTCGTATGGGTGCTCCCTAGTAGGTAACTGCTTTTCTCTTGCTGCTTTTAAGATTCTCTCTTCGTCTTTAACCATTCACATTTTAATTATGATGTGTCTTGGTGTGGGCCTCTTTGGGTTCCTCTTGTTTGGGACTCTCTGTGTTTCCTGGACTTATAAGTCTATTTCTTTGACCAGATAGGGGAAGTTTTCTGTCATTATTTTTTCAAACAGGCTTTCGATTTCTAGCTCTTTCTTTTCCTTCTGGTATCCCCATTATGTGAATGTTGAGCTGCTTGAAGTTTTCCCAGAGATTCCTTACACTATCTTCATATTTCTGGATTCCTTTTTCTTTTTGCTCTTCTGGGTGTGTTTTGCTCCTCGTATTCCAAATTGCTGATTTGATTCTCAGCATCCTCTACTCTAGTGTTTATTCCCTGTAAATTATTCTTTATTTCAGTTCATGTAGCCTTTATTTCTGATTGGTACTTTACTATGTCATTGATGATCTCACTAGTTTCCTTAATAGTCTTACTAAGATCCTTGAGCATCCTTATAACCATTATTTTGAACTCTATATAGTAGCTTGCTTGGCTCCATTTCATTTAGTTCTTTTTCTGGAAATTTCTTCTGTTCTTTCCTTTGTAACATGTTTCTTTGCTTCCACATTTTGGCTGCTTTCTGGTGTTTGTTTCTATGTATTAGGCAGTGCTGCTATGTTGCCTGGAATTGGTAGAGTGGCTTTGTGTAGTAAGTGTCCTGTAGGGTCCAGTGACTCAGCCTCCCCAGTCACCTGAGCTGGGACTTCTAGGTGTTCCCCTGTGTGGGCTGTGTGCACTGTCCTGTTGTAGTTGAGCCTTGGTTGCTGTTTGTGTCACTGAGAGGAATTGACCCCCCAGGCCAGTCAGTTGTGAAGACCAGCTGCAGCTACAGCCAAAGAGCTGGTGTGCTAGAGACACCCCTATAGAGCAGGATTTGCTTCAGTGGAGCTTTGGTGTTCACTGAGTCCACCCCTTGAGTGTGTCACTTGTGGATGTTGTAGGGTTGTAATCCAGCGTGGTTGAGTCTGACCACCAGGTGCACTGTCTCAGGGGCCTCCCAGCAGGTACAAAGTCAGCTTCTGCCTGTGCCTTGCCCAGGCCACACAGCAAACCGTAGATGCTGCTACTTGGGCTTAGAGGTGTCCAGGAGAGGCCAAACTATGAAGTAACGCAGGCTGCTGCTAGTGCCAAGGCTGGTGCCACTTATTGAGAGGTATGGGGCATGCCGAGGCCAGCTGCTGCTTGTTTGAAAGATTTTAGGAAAGTCTTAAGCATGAGATTAGAGAGGCCACTTGCATAGAAAAACCACTGGAAATGGCTTGGATGAGCTTGCAAGTAGGGAGGGGCAGGGTCTCCGGGAATCACCAGGGAGGAGCCAAAGGTGTCAGTCAGGTTGCTGGAGATTCAAATATGGCACCTGCCTGCTGGCTCTGTCAGGGGAATGTTGGTCAGAGGAGCAATGGCCTCTGCCAGTTGTTCTGTCTGGGAGAAAGCTGCCCCTCCAGCTGTTGCCTGGATCCAGACAAGTTAGTTCCTCCCCAAATGTCTTAGGTTCCTGTCAAGCTGCTGCCCAGCACTGGAGCTCAGAGGGAGTGCATCTGAGTGAGTCCATGCACCAGCCCTGTAAGAGGAGCTGCCTGGGATTCCCACAGCCTCCGAGTCCCTCAGTGACAGTCCCCACTGGTTTTACAGAAGTTGTGGGACTTCTCTTCCCAGCACTGGAACCCTGGGCTTGGGGGCCTGATGTGGGGTTGGGGGGCCTGGTATGGGGCTAGGATTTCTGCTCCTCTGGGAAACCTCCATCGCTGAGATAACCCTCTTGGTTTTAAACCCCAGCACCTGGGTGTAGGACAGCAGCCACGTCCCCACATTTCAGCCCAGATTCCACCCCACCTCTCCACCCCTCCTGCCAATCTCATTGCTTCTTCGGTTCTCTGGTTGTAGGGTTTCTGTTCAGCTAGATTTCAGGAGGTTTTGAGTGATGGTGGTTCTGCATTTTAGTTGTAATTTTGATGTGGTTGTGGGAGGCGGCGGGTATCTCTGTTACCTATGCCATCTTGTCTCTCCTACTATTTTATTCTTTCTGTACCCCAGTGCTTGGCACATGGACGATGCTCAGTAAATATCTGATGAATAAATGAGTGTGTGCTCTGAAAACACAAGCAGTAAAGTAGTTAATTTCCTGAACACAGCAAAGGATTCACAGAATCCTAAAGAAGACTCTGGCATTCTTCAGGTCAAAAACACAGCTAACTGTCCCTCATTCTACACATCTCTGTTTAAGCAGCCATAGAAGCTGTCTGCTATTTGAGAAAACTCCATGACTGATGAGCAATATGGAGTTATCTTTGTATGCAGCTCAGATATTTGTGTTTAGTAAAATGCTATTGTCAGTTTAGGTGGAGTGGCATAACTCATAATATATATTTTAAATCAGTAATACCTAGCTAATTAATAGTCTTTGGGGTTTGTTGTGTTAAGCGAACCTCGGCCAAGGACTGATCATTATACATTATTTTATTGTAGCTTGATATTTATCAGGCTTACCTGTAGTGCAACTACATGTTAAAGGAATATAAAAAAGAATGGAATGATTCAATTCCTGTGGGAACTAATCAGAGAGATACCTAAAAATAAATCTATTTTAAATCACCTTTGAAAACATGACTAAGAGGAAGAATGTTCCCATAAGGGTAATGAACTACATACAAAGACCTAGAAGCCAGACAGTGTAATTAACATGTTGGGGATTTGCTTCATTGGGATAGGTAGGTTAATTTGTTCTAGTTCCTGCTTCCCTTCTCACAGCTTACTGTTTCCTAGCTTATTCGTAGTTTAGAAGCCAAGATTCTGGGAAGTTTCTCCCCGCCGCCCCCCAAAAAAGATAGGCTTCCTTTTCCTTTGGTCTGCTTTAGAATTGCGGCAAAAGGTAGTCCCACTTGTTTCCCCAGTCTGTTTTCTAACCACTTGCTCTCTGCTATTTGCCCTCCTTCCTTTGCAGAAAGCCCCAAGGAAAGCTCGGAGCCGACGGGTTCTCCAGCCCCTGTGATTCAGCACAGCTCAGCAACAGCACCTAGCAATGGCCTCAGTGTTCGCTCTGCAGCTGAAGCTGTGGCCACCTCAGTCCTCACTCAGATGGCCAGCCAAAGGACAGAACTGAGCATGCCAATACAGTCGCATGTGATTATGACGCCACAGTCCCAGTCTGCAGGCAGATGATGCCTCCCCTGGTGGAGAGGTCCCCAGCCAGAGCTCGCCCGTTCAAGAACCAAGAGAGATGTCATCTTATCCCCTCTCATCTGCCTTGGACATGGCAATATGGGGAAAAAACTGTGTGTTGTGAGTAAAGGACAGATGTGGGGCTTTTCTCTTCAGCCACATGGTCGTGTATGTTGACACCTGTACTAGGGGCCTCCCAGCTCCAGAGCTACAAGATCATCCCCTAAGGGGAGGTTTCTGGTGTCCTCACAGCCAAAGGCCTTTCCAGATGGTCTGAACAATCAACCACCTGTGCCCACGCACCTGTACTTCTCTCTTTTAACACTAACCCTTGCACTTCTAGGTTTCAGGTTTCCCAGTTTCCTCTCTTCCCACTAAGTCATAACTGTTACCTTCTTGTTCCTTAGCAGCATGTCACTTCCTGCTAGTTAGAGGGAGCTAGAATTGATGACTTATCACCTGCTGACCTATTCCCCAGCCACCTCATGGACTCAGGACTTTGTGTCCCAGTAGCTGCTTGCTTATCCCTTTTTACCCATCCAAAATTCTAGTCAAAATATGCACTTAGGGAGAATGTAAAGTTACCTTTTATGAGCTTTTTTTTTTCAATCCTCACCTGAGGATATTTTTTCCATTGCTTTTCAGAGAGAGTAGAAGGGAGAGAGAGAGAGAAACATCGACCTGAGAGAGAGACATTGATTGGTTGCTCTGGCATGTGCTCTGACCAGTGCCAGGGATCAAGCCTGCAACCGAGGTTCGTATCCTTGGCGAGTATTGAACCCCAGGCCCTTCAGTCCACAGGCTGACGCTCTAACCACTGAGCAAACCGGCTGGGACTAAAGTTACCTTTGCTGTATGAAGTAGCAATATTTTCCAGCTCTTCCATAAACTTGAGTCCTTCTCCCTACCTTCTACCAAAACAAACAAAAACCAAAAAAAGCAGAAAGAAACAAAACCCCAAGAGTTCTAGTGCTTTTTAATCTATTTCCAGAGTTATTTGGATACCACCTTTCGTCTTTTGACTTTTCCTAGTCTAACGTTGGGGTCTTTTCCACTTCCCACTAAGCCTTGGCAACCTCATCGTGTGGCCTTATTAGATATGGCTTGGTAGTGAGAAGGGGAAGAGCCCAGGACCTGATTGGCTGACTCCTCCTCTCCCCGCTCCGTCCTTCTTCAGCCTAATCATCAGGTCAGGCAGGAAAGCTCATTCCATCAGGTTAATGGATTTATTATGTTTTATAAGAGTTTACTGACCAAAATATACATATTCCTTTTGGTCAACCTTCCGCTTCTGCGTCTCCCTCTTCATTCCCCGTCCATATTGCTGCCTCTCTCTTTCATAGCTAGTTCAGATGCTGCCCCAGGGAGGCTGTCACATAGCTCCCTCACTGTCCCCCAACTCTTAGCCTCACATATCTGTCCTTTCTGAGCTAGGGTCTTATATTCACAAGTGTCCCACACCCTCTGGATGTACCATCTTTCTCTTTCAGCATGCTCCTAGCCCAGCCACTAGGTCTCCCTTCAGCTCCTTTTGCTCTCTGCCCCCTAGATGCAGTGCTTCTCTATAGGCCAAGCCCCAAGACTCTGAGGCATCATAGCCAGGGTCTCGTGGGGGGTTTGTTGAGCATAAGGTTGGATGGGGGGAAGCGGGGGAGGGGCAGGTGCAGTACTAATCTCAGCAGAAGAGCCCTGCTTGAGAGAGAAACAGGGCTAGCCTACCTGGGAAATTGGTGACTATTGCTCTCAGCCATTCTTTGAAGAGCTAGATTAGAGGGGGAGAAATTCATCCCTCTGGTCTTTTTTCCCCATGAAGACTTCTCATCTTCCTTTGGCTCTGAACTATGCAGTTTCTACCAGGGCCATAGGAAGCAATCCAAAGCCAGGGGCCTGTGGCTAGATATGTCAGCTTTAATAGCTCTTCAGTATGAAACCCTTCCAATTGTCCCAGAGCCACCTTCTGCCGTCTGCTGAAGCCAAGAATGTCCTTTTCTCCATCTCTCCTACCTCCATCTTATACATACAGAATAACTCCCAGCTTCCTTTATTATTTTGTCTTCCAAAATTGGCTGTCATAGGGGAATGAGGAAATGTTCTAAGCTACGAGATTGCCGTCTCCTCAGAGTGATAAACTGGTGAGCCAGTCAAAATGACATGTTCTACTGCATTTGTTTTTAATTTCCCCTCCTGCTTTTCAGAGCCAGTGCTGAACAAGCCACACCTGGTGAAGAGAAAGGAGAGAAAACATGGTTTTCTCATCCTCTGCCACCCGGGACCCAACAGGAACAGCCCCTGAGGTGACTCAGATTAGCAAATGGCATGGCAGATGGTCAGGATGCAGGTTTCCACCTCCAGGGACTCCACTTGCCTTTAAAATTCACAGCCATAACTTGTGCTCAGGACCCTTCTTTCAGACGGCTGCTCCCTGGGCTTTTCTCTTGCTTTAGTTTTGTTTCATTTTTTATTTTCTTGATTTCCCACTAGCAGCCTTGCCCTTAAGCTTGACTGAGTTTATGGCTCCTAAGGAGCCTTCATAAGACCCTTCACTATTTTTCTTCCCCTTCAGTCAAGTGTGTTTCAAGTGAAGAATCCACTTGTTAGTGCACACAGGCCCTGCCTCACTGCTGGGCCCTGGAGGAGGCTGAGTCCTGCCCACCTGTCCCTGAGTAGGTTAGCTAATTCACACACAGGGTCTCAGTCTCTTAACCCCCATTCTGATTCTCATTTTCATCAATGGGAAGTTAGCATTGGGTACCTAAATGGGGGCATTGACACAGTCTCAGTAGTAAAGCAGCAGTGACATGAGGAAGGGGCAGGATGAGCCTCCAGACAGCTCTTCAGTTGGTCCTCAGTCTCACTAAGAAGGCAGAACAATTGCTTACCATGAAGCCTCCCTTATAGTCAAGGGGAGCATCATTGACCTTATTGCTCCAGCTGTGTGGCCACTCTCCCTTGCTCTTTGCCTTCCAGACTCATCTGGACCAGAATCAGATATCATGGAGGGTATCATTTAGCCCTTGTTAAGGGCCATGGCCTTTCTAGGGACCTAAGAAAGACACTTCTGAAAGGCACTGGGAGTGTGGACCCTTGGGGCTCTTCAAGTGAACACAGGATGCAGGCCTCTCACTTCACTCCAAAGACAGCTGTTGGATACCCAGGGCGATAGAGAAAGGGGCCAGAACCAGGTCTGGTGTGCTGACTTCTGCCCCATTCCCTTGAAAATGTGCTTAGACTTGAAAAACCTAAGAAAGCTTCCCCTACAACTAGCAGAAATGGGAAGAGTAGGTAGGACCTTTTTTACGTACTCTTTCCCTGTTGGTTATATACCCCAAATCTGGCTTGCTTCAGCCTCCACTCCTCTTCTTGGCCCTAAGACTAGACCAAAATCTTCCGGTGGTGATAAAGAAGGTGACCTAACAATCTCACCTTGCTGCCTTCCTTTGCGTCGTGGTGGTGTTCTTGGCTCCTTTCCTGATTCACTGCCCTCCAGCACCACACATCCTGATAGATGGGGTGCTTAGTCATAACCATGCCGTCTACAGTCTGAACCACCAAGCAGACATCAGGATCCTCCTCTGGCTTCTGAGGCTCCCATGTTCCACACTGAGAGGCTCCTTTAAAGGTGCTAGCCCTGAGACAGCTCTCCCCCCATAGTTCTCCCTTTCCCTCATAACTTCCTTTCCATCCCCAAATCATTATTTTCCATTAATATTGTACATTGTATACACAGGAAGGAAATGTATTTTTTTATTTCATAACCAATCTGTTTAGAATCCAGCCCTCCCAGCTATATCACATATGCCTTTGTTGATGTGCTCTTCGTGCTTTCTTTAGACTTGACAGGGGCGGAGGGAGGAACAAGACAAGTGAGGATCCTCGACCTCCACACCCTAATCATCCCCTCAGAGTGCGGAACTGATTCTCTGTTTCTGTTTACAACACACACGTGCACACGGACATAAATCCCTCTCCCCCTCCCCTAGGGTGCCAGCCCAGCAGGAATGAGCATAGGTGGCTGCTGGCCACCATTCCCACCCTCTGTAGCAGTTCATTCATCTCTCTGGGAAAAGAATGAGAAAAGGCTGAGGAGAGTAGGGAAGGTTAATGCAGCTTATGTCCTTTGTAGAGGCAAGTTTGTGTTGTAGCTGCTAGGGTTTGTTTTTTAATGGGGGCTGGTAGCACCGAGATATCTTACCAGCATTAGCTACTACTGGTGAGTGAGGTTTTAGCGATAAGAAATGGCTATGAGCACTAGTTTCATTGACTTTCCCTTAGGGCAGCTGTTTTCAGAACATGGTCCAGGACTAGCAACACCAGCAGCACTGGGGTCTGGGAAATTGTGAGAAATGCACATTTGGGCCCCACCCCTGACCCATCGAATCAGAAATTCTGGGATTGGGCTCTAACAAGCACCCCGAGTGATTCTATGCACACTAACATTTGAGAACCATCGCCCTAGGGGCAAGCTGGGAAGTTCTTGTAGGGTTTCAAGACTCTTTTAAGTACCATCGTCTGCCTTAGCGCTAACATATGTATTTTTCCATTTCCTCCAGTCCCTCTCTCCATTCCCATTAAAACAACAATCACATCATTCATCTCAAAATCTAGGTTTGTCTTCAACCTACTTATCCCTAAAACCCTGCATCGTTCTGGACAGGTGTTGTCCCATATTCCCTTGCAAACTGGTCACTCCACACTCTGTTACAGGAAGGACCAGCTGGAGTTTTAGCTGTTGTGTTCACACACACATACACACACACACACACCCCTTCAGGCAGGGAGACAAGCCTCCAGCCCCAGCAGTGGAGGCTGCAGCCTCCTGATATAGTACTTATTGAAAAGAAAGCAGTGTGTATCTGTGGTTATATCTCTGCTCATCTGTATATCTTTGACATGTAGCAAAACCTCTCTATCTCATCAAGGAACTGCATTGTGGGTCTGAGTCCCCCAGTCCCCAGTGGCAGACTTTGACAGATGGGAGCGTGCAGTGCTACAGGCTATTTTGTTACAAACCATCGTCTCCCTTTCCCCTCCACCCCATTCAGCATGACCCCTGTGAGCAGGCTCACAATCTCCCGGGACGGGGCTGAGGCAGAGGCTTTGCTCTGTTCTCCCTAACCGTTCCTTCTTCCTTCCCCCTTGCCACTTAGCAGTTATCCCCACAGCCATGCCTTCTCCCTCTTTCCCTTGCCCTGACATATATTGTGCCTTATTTATGCTGCAAATATAACATTAAACTATTGAGAGAACCACTGTTATGTCTGATGCTTCAATACTCTGATCTACAAGTCCTACTATCCACTCTTTCTGGGAACTCATTGGGCTTTCATGTCTGTGATCTTCCTCACTCTCCCATTTCTTAGGACAGAAGGAGCTGGGATTCATATCCTTCCTCTTTATGCAGTGAAGACACAGTCTAGAGAAGGTGGGTGGTTTATATAAATTACATAACACAACTGAAGGCACAGGGACTAGGGCTCAGATCTGTGACAAGGGCCCTCAGCATCATGGGAGCACTCACTAGAGGACTTGTGTGCTTTATGTGGATGGGGGATGGGATGGTGTTTGAAAGTAAGCATCCTCTTACCTTTCAGTGTTTTATCCCCACTCCCTTCCCAACAACTTTTTTTTAACGTGCTTTTTTTTTTCTCTTTTTAAATGTTTAATTGATTTTTTAGAGGGAGGGAGAGGGATAGAGAGAAACATCAATGAGAGACAAACATCATCATTCGGTTGCCTCCTGCACGCCTCCCATCCCCCTACTGGGGATCAAGCCCCCAATCGGGACAACCTGGGCATATGCCCTGACCGGGAATTGAACTGGTGATCTCTTGGTTCTGGGGTCGATGCTCAACCACTTGAGCAACACTTGCGGGGCCCAACAATTTTTTTAAGACAAAAATAAGTCCTACCTTCAAGAAGTTTCCAACATGACTGGGAGATGCAGAGACCAAAAGAGAAGTTTTCTATGATTCTGTAAGTTCTGTGGTTAGGCAGGGGTGGGGGTGGGACATTGATTAGAAGCAGGTAAGAGAGTTCTCAAGAAAAGAGGTAATGCTTAGGAACCACATGGAGTAAGAAGGTGTAGGGTGGTCACCAGTGATTGGATTTGTGTATTCCTTAATAATTATCACAAGTGAGGAGAGTGGGCCAGGCTGGAGAACTTGACCAGGAGATGGCAGGTGTCTCTGAGGGTTTCCCAATAGGACAGAAATTATCTAAGAAACTGTTTGTGGCTGATGTTTGGTATAATTGACACAAAGAGGGAGACTAAGTCTCAGGAGTAGGAAAGGCAGTTGTGGTCTTCACTGTGGTCAGGAATACATGGGGGCCCAGAGAAGGGGGAGAAAGGAAGTTACTGAAAGCCAAATACTAATGCCAAGCTTAAGAGGTTTGGGAGGTGGGGATGAGACTGAAGGCCGGGCAGTTTTCCATGTTAGCAGAATTAATCCATTCCAACTACTAACCAAAGGAGAGACGAGTCACCTCTATCCTGAACATAGGAAGCCAGCTAGATCAGCTCCTTTCCTGATGCAGCCTCAGCTCAGATAGTGTTGTACTTGGTGATCAGAGAAATAGCAGAGGGGGAGCAGCAGGGTGGTAAACACGAAGTGCCTGCTCTGCACTAAGTGGAAAGCTAGGTGCTTTGCGTCACTTACTGCTCACAGCAATCTCTTGATAACAGGAGTAGTTGCCTCATTTTATTGAAGAAGTGAGGTTAAGGTTAAGTAATACTTGCCCCAAGGCACACAGCAAAGTGCCAAGAGCTGGGATTAAAACTGAGTTCTGTCTGACCCCAGAGCTGCTCCTTGCCATGCCCCACCTCTGCTCCTCTGGACTTCTGTGAGAGAAGAACACAAGGACCTCACTGTGGGGAAGGATCCATTTCCCGCAGAAGAACCATCTACCTATGGTCTTAATACTCCCCTTTAAGAAGTAGTAAAACTACAAGGTGCAATAGTGAATGTCAGGTTCTGTGCTGGGGACCAGTGTGAGACAAAGCTCACAGAATGTCTCACCTAGCTTAGGCTGCATTAATAGAAATTAGTATCTAGAGCATCTTGATCAAAACCAGCTCTAATCTAGCTGCCCAAAGTGCAGATTGGTTTACAAATGCCTCACTTTAAAGAGGGGGGACGCTTCCCCTTGAACAAAAAGAGACTAATATAGAGTAGAAGAATGAAATGTCTTCAAACCTGCGAAAGGCTCGCATACGTGAAAGAATGGAGAGATGTTCTGTGAGACTTAATGAGGCAAAACTAAGACCCCCTGGTGGAGGCCACAGGAGACGGAAACAGCTCAGTGCAAGGATAAATCTGCAAAGACTCAGGAGACGGTAAGTTCCCAGGATTTGGGTGTGTCAAGCTCCACACAGCTAAAGTTCTGAGGACACTTGCTCTGTGTTAGATCCTGTACTGAATGGGTGACCAAAAGCATCTCAAATAATGCTCACCCTAGGAAGTAGTTTCTTTTCGTGTTGCTGTGTTCTAGGTGCAGAAACTGCAGTTTCAAGAGGTAGGCAGCTTGCCAAGGCTGATCACAGGCTCTTTACATCATGGCACCTCTCCAGGAAGGCTATGGAAACACTGGGTCCGGGGGTGGGGAGGGTTGCTGAGGAAGGAATCGTAGGATCAGAAGGGAAAGGGCACCAGGTGACTTGGAAGGACCCCTTCCTGAGAGGCAGGTATTTCCTAAGGCTGGATTCTAGTCTCCTGCCCCAGTAGGTCAGAGCCAGGCAGAGGCGGGGGTGACTAGAGTGAGATGGACAAAATCATAGTCCAGCCTAGCATTCTGCCCCTTCCTTTCTGGAACTCTAGAATCAGCTTCATGAACCTCCAACCACCAGGCCCTTCTAAGAGCTCTATTCCAGAAAAAGGAAATGGCTGGACCTGACAGTATGGAGCTGTGGCCACAGGGTGGCAGCAGTGCCTCAGCTGCAGAGGATGTCTCCCTAGACCAAGGTGAGGCAGGTTCCAAGTAGTTGCCCTTTAGTGAAGATGGGGTCCATCTACAAAGATTTGAAGCAATCCCCACTTTCTGTGAGATCCACACTTTCTTTTAGTTTCCTTCTGCATCTCACTTCTCTATCCACAGGTAAATCTCATAGTAGTGACTCCATTTGTAACCCTCCAAGAGGCACATATGCAGGGATATGAATGGACTGGTGACCCTGACTGCAGCCAGTTAGGGGAGGAACCAGGCTGGGTCACCCCAGCCACCTCTGACTCTGGCTCTTCCCCCCACTCCCTCTGTTCCAGGACACAATACCTAGCCCTTCCTGACAGAACTTTCTTTATGCTTTTATTTTCAAGTTAGAAAAGAGGTGATCAATTGGAGCTCTCCAACCTGTTGAGGGATTGGGGGGTTCTTAAAGGGCCCCCAGGGCCTGGCTCTGACAAAGCATCTGCAATTAATGATGCTTTTTGAGCTCTGGAGACAGGATTTATGCATCTAATAAAGTCTGTAACTCCAGGCTTAGGGGATGGGGCTGGAGGCTGAGAGCAGGAAGTCCCTGAGGGGCCATGGGAGGGGATCCCAGGGGTTCTTAAATGGAGCCGTGCATTTCCATTGCCTGCTCTAGATTCCCCCTCAGGCTGCTATAGGGATGGGGGACAGGGGGACAGCAGGTATAAGAGGCAGAGGTGGCCGTAGGAAGGCAGATGACAGCATGGATTCCAGGCAGTCAGCAGTGCTGCTGGTGGTGCTGCTTTTAATAACAGACTGGGGCCACGCTGAAGGACCAGGGGGCCAGGATGGAGATCAGATCTTCACGGTGAGTTAGCACCCCCCTCCCCACATCACCATTTCCCTCTACCTCAGTTTGAGACTTGTGCTCTAGGTTCAAACATTCTAGTGGCCAGGGTCTTCACTGAGTCCTCACATTTGAGGAAATAGCTACTCAGCCTCCTACAACTTGTCACTGGAAGCCACATCCTCCCCTAGCAACCTGAATGTCTATCTTTGCCAATATTCCCTCTTGGGTGTCCCTGTAACACAGGAGGAAGACACCGGACCCCGCGCACTGCAGGATGCTGAGACCCCTGTTTCACTCTGGCTCTCCCTGCTCCAGGCCATGCAGAGACCAGGCCGGAGCCCAGCTTTCCAGTTTCAGCCCCAGAGGTGAGTCTGAGAGGGACACAGGCAAGGCAGGGGCCAGAGGGAGAGGAGAGGGAGGGGGCTGGAGAAGGGGGTACAGGAAGGACCTACAGCTGAAGATGGATCTCTTCTAAGGTTTGGCAGAAATACCCGAGGCTCCTGGAACAATGAACGGCTGAGTACCCGAGCTGGGGAGGGGCTGAGCTCCCCCTTCTGGAGTCTGGCTGCCCCTCAGCGCTTTGGGAAGAAGTGACATGTCATCTCTTGATATGTTTGCATGCAAGGCCCACACTCAAAAGTGCAATGTGTCCCCCTCCAAATAAAGCTGTCTGGCTTCTGAATCAGGTGTCTGTGTCTAAGACTTGAAAGGGCTGGGAGGGAGCCCAGAGCAAGAACCACAGCCCCTCCACCTCCATCAAACTCTCCAGGAACACAGGTGATGGGGTTCCCGGAAGTCATTGCACCCAGACTCCTTCCACCAGAAAGGCAGGCATGGGGACATGTGAAGAACAAGGTAGGAAGGGACAAAGGGGAGGTGATCTGGCACTAACCTCCTCTGCCATCAACTAGTCAGGGAAACAGAAAAAGCAGATTTTAAGAATCCAAGGAGCAGCATTTATTCTGGGCTCTAAGGGACAGTGCCCGATTTCATTCTCCTCCATTGTTAATAGTAACATGAGGACAGATCCTGGGCCACTATGGCACTGTGGTCCCCGGCTCCTGGGCCCATGCCCTCCTCAGCCTGCAGGGAGGCAGTCTATGTCAGAGGTAGAGATGGCACCTCCAGGAGGTACCAGAGTTGGGCAGATGCCGGGGCCGAGGGCAGGAAGAGCAGGGAGCAAGGATGTACATCCATGAGTCCAGCTGGAGCTTTACTTGCTGCCTGCCATGATCTTGAGGTACTGCAGGGCACGGCGAGCAGCTTCGCCACGAGCTGCCTCCCTGGTGGCTGCAGAGCCATGACACACAGTGGTCGGCTGTGTGGACAGCTCCACCAGGCACTGGCAGAGGCCACTCAGGCTCAGCTCCTCTGGAGACCAAGAGAGAGGAGGGAGGCAGTGTTGGGTGGGAAGGCAGCACCGGGAGGGGTGAGCCACGCCATCATGATGCCCCCACCCCGACTCCTTATACCCATCTGTACTTGCTCTGGTCCAGTCCCCACCATCCCCCGGCCCCCCAACTAGCCATACCAATATCCAGGTAGCTGACATGGAAGGCCTGCTCCTCAGACAGCTCACTGAGGACACTGCAGCAGGCAGGGCCCAGAGCACCTAAGGAGCCTAGGGAGCAGCTGCGGAGAGACAGGATCTTCTCTCCCACCGAATTTCGCAGAGAATCCCAGGTGCAGCCTGGTCCCCGGTTCCGAAGTCCATCTAGGCGGGAGCCCACACCCTGTCAAGATGAAAATAGTGAGAAAGATGCGGCATTGGGCTCGGAGACGCGGCATTTAATAGACATTTAATGTCCAAGGAGACAATAACCCAAAGAATGGGACCTCCAGCTTGCCTCCCCTCAGTCAATCCCTATTTGGCCCTCTCACTACTGGACCCTGGACTGGATCGCCAGACAGCCTTTCTCATCCCAGGAACAAAAGCTTACAGGGCCCCTGCCCTGGGCCACCTCCCCCATGGCACTCACTAGGTAGGCCTAAAGCAGAAGCTTAGAGGGGGCCCCAAGAATCCTGGTTCTGATAGGACAATGGACAGAAGCAGGCCTGAGACCCAGAAAGACTCATTCATGAGTCACAGGACCAAGTGCCCAGTGCTGTGGCCTGGCATGGAACATGGCCCACGAACCACTCACAATGGAGAAGTGATCATCGTCAGGCTCTGCCTCATTGCCATCCCGGGCATCCAGAGGCACCGTGTGCACGCGAAGCAGCATTTTGGCCGCAGCATTTCGCTTTGCCAGCTTTTTGGAAGTGCCACTGCCTGTGTGTAGGGAGAGGGTTATGGGATTAGAACTCCCAGTAGACCCATTGCTTTCCACGTAGCTCAAGCCTGGATTGAGAGTCCCCTTAGAAGATATCGATTAGAAAGGAGAGCTCAGGACCTGCCATGTACCTGAGAACCTGGTTGGCCAGAAGAGGGGGAAAGATAGGGTACAAGGAAGAAGCTAAGAGAAGGAGCCAAGCTGGGGGGTCTCAGCCAGAAGAGCAGGGCTGTAGCAGAGAAGCTAGGAGCTGCCTGTGGCCAGGACTGGAGTGCTGGGGGACAATAGCTGCAAGAACTCCCTTCTGCCCAGTTACCAATCTCAATGAAACGCTCCACTCGGCAGGTCATGGTGAACTCTTTGCGGTGGGCTGGCCCAGACTCCTGAGTCACCGTGTACTCAGGCAACCGCCAGCCCTTCTGCACCACCAGCTCCTTGGAAGGGAGAAATAAGGGGGCACAAGCTGAGTGAAAAGAGTCCAAACATCCTCTCCCTCCTACCCTAGGAGCCTCAGATTCCAGGTTAGAGGAGGAAAAAATTGGGTGGAAAAAGCCCTCAGAATAGGGCAAACTCCCCCCATAACCTTCCCTCATGGCCTCTGGTTCAAGGGAGGACAGGCATGCACAGGAAATGAGGAGGGAGCACACCTGCAGAGCACCAACAGGGTTGCACTCAGACTGCTGAGGAGAGACAGGGGGCTGCACCTCCATGGGGGGGCTCCTGAAGGAAAAAGGGCCCAGGGCCAAAGCTGAGGGGGCTAGTTTCTTCTGCCACTGCCCAGGAGTCCTAAGCCTTGTTTTGGTTTCCCCCACTCCAAACTTCTAGCCTGCTTCCTTCCCCCTCCCCTGCAAGTGAGGTCTCCTCCAGGTCCCTGGCCCATTTCAATTTCCTGGAACACATGCTCAACACCTCACCAGGACAGTTGGAGAGGGGCTGTATATCCAGTCTCTGAAAGCACTGGATGGGACTCAAACACAGGGCCATCATGGGGCCAACTCAGAAGAAAATAGTGCCTGCAATACCCTTAAACATGGGTCAAACATCACCCACATGGCCATTTAAAAATCATTAATTACCGCTTGTCCCAAGAGCTTACCAGCTGGTGCAAATTCTTCACACTCTGGTTCCCAACTATTCCAGCCTCTGTTTACTCTCAGACTTCCACATGCATGACCAGCCTGGGTTTAAGGGCTGGGGGCCAGGAGCCAGGACCCCTTCCTCCCCCCCTCAGGTAGTCAGAAGACACAAGATACCTGGTTGGGACAGCAAATGGAACAGGAGTAGCAGCCGCTGCTGCAGTAAAAACTGGACCGTTCTCAGGCAGTGAAGAGTCTAGGAGAGAAAAAGAACTTCCCGAGGGGAAGGGGGCTTTTGATTCACACCCTTGTGGGGCAGGGACAGTGGAAGGGTGGGGGACCCAGGTCCTCCTGACCTGCCCATCCCCTAAGAAAATTCCTTCCCATTCAAGTCAAACACTTGGGGAAGCTCAACCACCAGCTCTTCCTCCTGGGATCTCTTTCTACCCAAGAACTATGGGAGCAACAAACTCCAACCTCAGTGCAGAAGAGGAAAGGACATCTTGCTAGACAGAGAAGGCAACTCCCTCCAGCCTCAGCCTCCACCCCTCTCCCTCCTTAGCCCTGAACCCCAAACCACAGCCACAATCCCTCAGTGGAGCTGGCCATTCCCCCCAGAAACAGGAGCTCTGGAAGCATCCTGCTCAGGTCCAGAGGAAACTCAGGAAGAGGCCAAGTCAAGGTGGCTAAGTGTCACCAGGTCAGGCCTGCTGGGCAGAGGGGCTGGTGCAGGGGCCTGGGTTCCTGGCAGGGCCTCTAGGATGCCTCAGCTGTTCCTCCCTCACCTGCTGTCCTCCAGGGCCGGCTCCAGCATGCTCCCCCCTTTGAGGTGTTTGAGGGCCACCTCAGCTGCCTTGTGCTTGGCTGCCTTCTTGCTGGGGCCCTGACCTGAGAGAGGGGGTGTGGGCAATACTGGAGGTCACTGGAAGGACGGATGAGAAACCAGCATCCCACAGCCTCTCTCCTCACAGCTACAGGGAATCAACCAAGCCCCTACTCATTGACCTCTCCTTGTCCAAGACTGGAAGTGTTATACTAATTGCTGGAAGGAGGGCCCTTATCTTTCCATGAGCTCCCCAAATCAAGCCATGCCAGACGGAACTGCTCCTGAGCTCAGACACCTTGGGTGGAGATTCTTTCTGCCTTACTTTCCTCTGGGAAGCACTTTCTCTCAGTAAATAGAGATGGCTGGAAAAACAGAAGGTAGGTTCTAGAGTCAAAGCCTGGCTCTATCACTTACTAAGCACATGACCATGAACCAGTCATTGAATCCCTCTAAGCCTCAGTCTCCTCACAGTCAACGTGAGGATACTACCAACTACATCACTGGATTAGACTGAGGTGTATGATTAAACAGGAATTTGGTTATGCACCTACAACAGAGCCCAGCACAGTCGGCACTCATTCCTCCAAATACTTCGCTGAGATTTCGGTTTATCTCCTCTTACGTTTTCCTCTAGGATGTCGACAATCTGCCAGATCACTGTGGCAATCCTGCTTGCTCCTCTAACTCTCCCAACTCCTACCATCTCCTCACAGACCTGTTCTCCCAAACCAGTCAGTGGCCTTTCCCGCTGAAACCTCTCCCTCCCTCACTGCTCTTGGAGAAGAGGACTGTGAAGAGACTCCAGGAAATAAAGCCAATGGGGCCCTCTGAATGCACACCCCAGCCAGGCTGGCCCAGGCCTTCCTCACCAGTGCAGCTGGTGTCGCCAACGGTGACCCGAAAGGTGAAATTAGGCTGGTGGGCTTGGCCCTCGGCTTTGAGAAGGTCGTACACGGGCGTCTTCCCTATTCTGGTCCCATACTCCTGCAGAAGGCTGATCGGGGTCTTGCCCGGGTTGGCTGCCAGCATTTGCTCTATACTGAGGGGAGGGGCATAGACCCTCATCACACCTCCCCTCTCTGCACCCACCTGGCCAAGCACTGCTATATCAAACCCAGGCACACTATGGGGATCACAGGGTCCAGGGGACCCCAGGCAATACAGCAGTCATAGGCTGGGTTGAAGGTACAGTACAGATGCAGGCTGGGAAAGCACGGTCCACTGCCCCAGGGCAAGCGGGGAATGCACTGTTCCTGTCTCAGTTAAGACCGAGGATCCTGTACCCGAGTGCAGGTTAGAAGTGCATGTCCCCTAACACAGTGCAGGCCAAGAACCTAGTACCCACCAAATGCACTGAATGTCGGGGGCATAAAGCCCAATGCCCAAGTGCAGTCTGGGAACCGGGCCAGCCCCAAACTGGAGCTCGAGGCAGTGGCCACTGCTCGGGTGAATGCCGGGAACCACGGCCCACTACCCCAGTGCTTGCCGGGAACAACCCTCAGGCCAGATGCATGCTGGGGCCGCGCCGCTACCCCTCCGCACCACGCCACGCTCTTCGCCCTGCAGTGGTCGATAGGAGGCCGCTCACCTGGGCAGCCCGCTGCCTGTGGTAGTGCCGGAGCCCTGCTCCTCTTCACTCATTCCCTCCTCCGTCCCCGCGGGCGCCGCCGTGACTTCAGCCTCCACGCGCCCCGATACACCGCCGACAAGCTAGGGCCGGGGCCAAGCCCGGAGTCGCGGCCGGTCGGGCCCGCCGTGGGGCATTCTGGGATATGGAGTCCTCCCGCCCACCCAACTCCATGAGTCTCCATCAGGAGGGGAGCTATCCGCCCCACAACCCTCTGCGTGGTTCACCCTGGCAAGCAGCACCGCCTTCTGGGAGGAGCGGACCCCTTCACCATCGCTCCCCGACCTGAGGGTGGTTTTTTTGTTTGTTTGTTTTAAATACTGTCCCGCCTCCTTCCTTCCGTGTCTCCACTCCCCTTGGCAGGGGCTCTGGACATGCGTAGTAGCAGCGTGGAAGCGGCTGGGGGCGGGGTGGTAAGGGCTAACTCGAG